CTCCATTTGGGGTGAACCAATACAGAACGTTTTGGGCAGCTCTCAGGGGAGGGTCTCGTCTGTCCCACCCTCACCGGAGCTTGGGGGGAGGCAGAGCAGCCTGGCGCTCTGCCTTTGCACCCCCTGTGGGATGTAGGGAGACCTGCCTGTGTTTAGTTAAATCGGTAACCGATTTAGCCAGACTCGCTGTGCTGATCGGCATTTTCCCAGGACGTGGAGTTTTTGTCGGAAAACTTCGGACAGCTCTAGTGCCAGATGCTGCGCCCAGAGCACTGCTACCAGACCCTCATGTCATCCACAACCAACTTGCATGGCCATCAGGATCTAGCTTGGAATTTACCTCCGGGGACTTGTCTCTGCTTGTCTTTCTGTGCCGCTCTGATTCCTCTGCTCCTCTAGCACTGACCTTTCTCTCTGCCTTCCCACAGTCCAGCCAGCACAAGAGCAGTCTCTGCAACTGCTGGTGCTAGCAACAGCTCCCTGTTCTCTGTCTCAGTGACTCTCCTCGTCTCAGATCTTGGCTAGGAGCTGTCTCTCCCTCCCTTCCCCTTACTACATCAGTGTAACTGTCCCAGCACTGTGAAGTATCCTGGGGCCGTGGTGCATCTATGATCCACACCACTAGCACTCTGCTGTGTTCTCTTGCAGGACGGCGTGATGGTGCTCAGTGCCACTCACCGTTACAAGAAGAAGTATGTCACCACTCTGCTGTACAAGCCCATCTGATCGTGTGTCTCGCCGCGTAGCACACGAGGAATGCCATGTTGTCTGCACGCACTGGGCCACAGGCCTAAGAAGAACTGGTGGTTGGCTCTAGCTGAACCTGGCAGGGGTGGAAGGGGATGAGCCCAGCCCTGTTGGGTGTCTGAGCTATTCCCTCTGTATTCTGTTGGTGAGATTTGATTTGACCCTTTCATAGCCTGCCTCTGTCGGGTCCTCTGGCTTTGCTGAGTTCCCTGGCTTGGTCTACTGCCTGCCAGCCTGGCTCCCCATGGGGGAGTCACAGCAGGGAAGGAGCTGTCGGAAGCTCTTCCCCAGCCCCTCTGCCTGCAAGAGCTTTGGACAGTTCCTCCGGCGGTTGCCTGCGGTGGGGCAGAGCCATGTCACTCTCCCTTTGCACCCCATGCCAAGGCCCTCTAGAATGGCCTGCTTCAGGGCAGAGTGCAGGGGGTGTCTGCACCTGAGCTCCGCAGGCCTGGGCTGGCTTCCTACCTCCCTGCACTTAGCTAATGGGACTGGAATGTGCACATGGCTCCCCTGAGCAGAGACCAGGGTTAGTCCCAACCCCCCACCAGCATAACACACACACACACACTCACTCACTGCATTGGAGGGTTAGTCCCAACCACTGCCCCACACACACACTGTCCTGCCCGCCTCAGGCATTGCCTCCCCCAACATTCAGCTCTTGAGCTGTGGGCCTAGGCCCCAGAACGCTGAGCCTTGACTTCTGTGGGGCCAAGAGGTGGGAATTTCCCAGGTTTAGGCCACAGCAGAATGGCTCTGTGTTACCCTCCCCAGGCCAGTGCAGCATAGGAACTGCTGCTGTGATGCAGCAATTAGCGCCCCTACCCATCTGAGAGGAAGAGCCTGAGCTGCTGAGATGTCTGTCACATGGAGCCTGGGTGCTCTCTCTCCTGACGACGGCCTGCTCCAGCGCCTGTGGGGGGCAAGGGAAAGGCTCCTGCTGCGTCCGTGGCCCTTGCACCAGCTCTCAGCAGTCTGGGTATTTTGTGGGAAGAACTGCAGTGCTAGTGTACCCAGCAGCTGCCAGGGCTGCTCTGTCTGTGCAGGGGGCTCTCACATGCACTGGGGTTCTTGGCCTGGAAGCTGATCTCACTGTTGGGATGACAGTTTCCTGCCCCATTGCACTGAAGTGGCTGGTTCTGTCTTGGCTAAGAGCTTTCCCAGGGTCCCAGTGCAGCCTTCTCTCACTCCTCTGCCATTGCCTCAGGCTGGGCTCCGCAGAGCTCACTGGCTCTGCAGCCCTTCTTTCTGGGGGAGCACTAGTGGCTGAGCTCGGCCTCCCTGGATCATTTGTCCTGAGGAATGTTTAGTGAGTGGCATTGTCACAAGCCCTTTGGGCTAAGCCTCTGCCAGGTTCAGCTCTTAGCTTGCGGGTGGGGAGGGGGCATTGCCGTTGTATGCAATTGCACTTTACCAGTCACATGGAGAGCACTGGCTCCCAGTCCTGCTGGAGTGCCTCCAAGGGCAGGGGTTGCTTTGTGTGATGGTGAGATGAACACGGCTGTGCATGCTCCGCTGGACCCTGGAAGGGCTGCAGATGCCCAGAGACGAGCAGCCGGCTGCCTGGGTGGGAGACCAAGCTGGACAAGCAGCAGCAGCAGCTTCTGCCCAGCCCAGTCAAACCAGCGTGACCAGGGTGCTCACTGACCAAGAGGGAAACTTCTGCTTCGAGGTGAAAAGGAGGCAGGGCCAAGCCAGTCCTTCTGGGGCAGCTGCCTCTTCCCCTGTCGGCGCGGGGAGGACTTGGCACTAAGGGCTCGCTGACAGGTCAGCCTAGCACTGCTCCAGCGCTGGGAAGGGCAGGCACTGGCTCCAGGCTATGGATTAATTATTGCTCTCTGTGCTGCAGGGCCTGGCTGGAGCTATTAGCATGACACGCACAGCAGAGGCTCCTGCCATTGTTAGGGCTGGTTCCTCTAGCATGTACGAGAGATGCTGGCTGCCTCAGACCAGGCCAAGAGCCCGAGAGTCAGCTTGCTCCCTGGTAACCGCCCGTGAGCACCTGTCAGACGCAGGGAGCAGAGGGCCAAGCTGAGGCAATGCTGCCAAGCAGTATGGGACTGCTGCCTTAAGGCAGAAAGCCCAGAGTCTGGGTGCTGTGGCCACTTACCTGCCTGCCCCGTGAGCATGGCTCTGCGGCGAGGCATTGGGGCTTGGCTAAAGGAAAGGGCTTGGACCAGGACATGCTGGGCACTGGCTCCCATTGCCAGCCCCTCACAGTCCCTGGTCCTGGAGGCATGGGGGTGAAGAGGGGCAGGTCTCCTGGTGCTTGGGTCACACACCCAGGAGAGCTCAGCCTACCATGAGGGGGAAGCAGCTGAGCCCCTTGTCCTGGCCCAGAGCCGTAGCCCAGCAAAGGAATGCAGTGAGTGGGTCACACCGTACTGCACAGCTGGGGGCTGCGCTTCAGTTCCTTGCATGCTGCGCAGGGATGGTGGAATCCCCAGCATCGAGCTGAAGGCATCCACTGGTCCCTGTCCTGCAGAAGCAGCAGGTGCAAAAGCCCCAGGAAGCCCTGCTGGTTCTGCTGTTGGTGCCTGTGCTGTAGCTCACGGCTGCGCTCTCCCACGGGAGCTGCAGCAGAGGCACAGGGCTAGTGATGCTGTAGGGGGTGAGGTTAGCCTCAGCCAGCCCTTTCTGCTAACAGCCCGCACAGCTGTTTACTGCTGAACACAATGGCTGTGGTGAGGGGGTTCTTGGATCTTGGGGCTCTTACATGCCCTGGGTCAGCACTGAGGCAAGGGCAGCTCCTTGCTGCTGGATTTGGGGTAAGAAGGGCACCACAGGTGCCAGGCTCCCTTGCTGATTTGATGTAACTCATAAAGCCAGGCTAAGGCTTTGGCCCAAGCAATATGACTAATAAAGTTTGTTACAGAGGTTGGTGGGACCTCATCTGTGTCTGGCTGTGTCTGCATGCCAAGGAAGAGGGGCTGCAGTGAGGACCCAGGCCAGCCGTTTGTGTGGTTTGAGATGATTGGACCCTGACCCATACTAAGCCAAAACTGGCTGTGGGTGTGTCCAGTATCAGGGCTGGGGCTGCCCCTGCGAAGTGCGGGCCACACACTCCTCTCTTCCTGACAGCATGGCCTTACTAAGGTGCTGCAGGGAGGCCAGGCTCATGGGAGGGCAGGTCACTGCAGGGGAAACTCAGCCAGACAGGCCTATGGGGCAGGGTGGCAAGCTCTTCCCACTGGTGTCCTTGTCACAGTGAGGGTAGTGCACCCCCTCTCCCCATGGGAATGGCTAGGTGTGGGGATGTGTGAGAGCACCGGGGAGGTTGCCTGCCTCTCAGCAGCCTGCACTGGCAAAGCTGGGGGCAGCCTGGGTCCTAGGGGAAAGGGAGCTGGGATGGGGGGAGGCAGCAGCGCTGACCTGCCACTATTCATTAAGGTCCTTAGAGGCAAAAGACTACAGTAGCCAATGGGCAAAAAAAGTTTATTGGGGATGCCCCGCAAGGGAGCCCTGCATTTCTTAAACTTCATTTCTCCCCAAAGTTAGAGCCACGTTGGCCCCGTGGGAGGCCTGCCTTAGTCCAGGGCCCCACTACTCTCCCCTGGATTACACTCAGTCACTATATACATATCCTACAGCAGAGCCTCACCCCAGTCAAGGTTGGCCAAACTGGGGGCCTTTCCACTGCTGCTTTACAAATGGTTCCCCCCCAAAGCAGGCCTAAGATGGGTGTGTCTCCCATCAGTGCCCCTGGGGGGCAGCAACGGTTCAGCTCTGGCTTACAGGGATTTGACACTTTGGTCATGTTGCCTCAGAAATTGCTTATCACCAAACGAATGGGTGAAGGTCCCAGCAGAGAAGGGTAAAAGCAGCCTGACGTCCCTGCTATGCACGGGTTCCAGCAGGAAGGACCTGCAGGCAAAGCCATCCTGTATTGGCAAGCAGCAGAAACAAGCGCTGCTCTCTAGGGCTTGTTTTCCCCAGAGCAGGGTGGACGGAGCCTACCACCCCTACAATTACAGCTGCATCAAATACGCTGTTTGGGAGGAAACCAGCTCACAAGATGCTCCAGGCCACTCAAGCAGCCACCTACACAGTCTGCTGCTTGCATGGACTCAGCAGCTGGCTGGAGGCCACCTGCTCTATCTCCCTGGCACAGGCAATGGCAGAGTACTGGTCTAACACATGCATGGCTGTGAGGTTCCACAACAGAGGGAGTGTGGCAGCAGGATGATGGGCCATGCTAGGGGACGGTGAGGTCACTGGGAAAGCAGCTTTGCCAGTTACCCCGGATACATTTCCTAGCAGTGATTAATCAAACGAGTATGGCTCCCTGGCAGTGTGGTACCAGACAGGGCTGGTGCTAGCCCAGGGGCCAAGCCTAATACAGTTTACGGCTAGCTTCCATGCAGAGGGGTTCAGTGCCAGGGTGGGTTCGCCGTGGGGGCACAGCAGTTCTTGCTGAGCCCTGCCCAGGAGCCGTTTCAGCCAGGCTTGGGGCTCAGGAGCTGGGAAGGTGAACAAAGCAGGGCCAGCTCTGGTCCTCCTGCCACTTTAGGGTGTGGGGGCGGCTCCTCTTCCTTCCATGCTCCTGGTGGGCCGGGATCACGTGGCTCGGGTGCCGGGACAAGCCCACTGACATTTCCCCTGGAGAGAAAGCACAAGCCAGCCTGAGGATGGGGAGCGGGCAGCCATCAGACACTAACCCCCACCCCATGCCACTGGGGGCTGGGAGCCCAGGCAGGCTGGTATGGCAAGCCAGCACCACTGTAGCAGCTGGTGGCATTGGGCCTGCTGCAGCATCATGGGCACAAGAGGAAGGGGTGCCAGACTGGACAGAGGGAGGGTGAGGACAGCCTCCAGAACAGCATCCGGGACACTCCAGCAGGCTAACTGTGCCCCCAACTGTTAATGCCCTGCCAGCTCTCCCCTGCATCCAGCCACTCGCCCTGCTGCAGCCAGCATTCCCCACAGCCCTGCAAGTGCTGCCATTTCAGGACAGCGGGCAGCTCTGTACCCAGCGGCCACAAAGGAGCAGCAGCGTCAAGCTGAGCTGCCTCCAATTCCATGGCCAGCCACTCAGCTATTTGCCCAGCAGGCAGAAGCCCCACCCCCAGTTCCCTATAGGAGCATGGGCGCATATGTGGGCATAGCTGCCCACCCCCAGACAAGTTCACACAAGAGGGACAGGACCTTCCCACTAGGTGCTCCGCAATCAGAGGTGCGAGGTGGGCAGTAGGGGCTTCGTGCGTCATGCCAAGCCAGGCCCCACCCACACCCATCAGTGATGGCACTATAGCATTCAGGCCTGTATATGTGCCTGAGATCGAATTTTGGGTTCTGTTTGACTGTTATTCTTCTATCCTTACTAACATATGTGAACAAAGCCACTGTGTGTTGCATCTGCCCACAGCCAGATGGAGTTTATAGCATAATGAGTAAAGATAAGGACTAGAAGTAAAGTGTTGGTGGGAGTTTAATATAGGAGCATACAGTTGAAGGCAGCCCACTCCTCTCCCAAGCCAAGGTCAAAGAACCAGTCGGGAGGAGGGGTGGGGGAGGAAGGTGTAAGAAACACTGAAACCCAAAGAAATGGTGACCCTGGCCAGAGGACCACCTCACTCCCTACCCCTCCCGTGGGGTACAAAAGAGGTGGTACCGAAGCCCCCAGACTCACGACTCTCCAAAACGGAACATGACCATAAATTGTAAGGGGTGGGACCAGGGGTGCACACTACAGGTATAATTAAGCCTGCTATGGGAGGGGGCAAAAGGAAAAAGCCTTACTGGTGTACACAGCTGTGGATGTGCTTGCTTGGTAACCCCAATAAACATCGCATTGCCTGCACTTTGGACTCTGGCCTTCTGCTTTCTGTCTGCGTGAGAAGAACCAAGGGAGGGCGAGGGGAAGCCCTAACAGCTCCCGTCCACTTGTCACATAGCACCTCAATCCAGCCCCTCCCCAGCCCAAAGAGACATCTCCACCAGCGGGGGCTGCCAGGAGAACAAGGCTTCCTCTAGAGCTTCCAGCAGCTGCTAGGCTCTGGGCCCTGCCCATGGCAGAGCTGGCCTGGGGCTGCAGGCATCCCTGCCATTGGAGCTGGGCAAGGACAGAGGCTCTGCCAGGGATTTCCCTACACCCCTGCCCCCTCCCCCCAGTTTTGTGAACTAGTTACATGCAGTGTTGCCAATTTAGTGATTGTTTGGACATTTGAATTGAAACATTAATACACACTTTAAAAGCATATACAGTGTATGATAAAATACATATATCTGAAAAAGTATAATAGATTTGAAAAGTATGAACATAGACTAGCTTCCTTATACAGCTGTTTTTTATGACAATGTCAGTGCATTCATTTTGGCGATGTTGGCCAACCTAATAATTTCAAATTATGATTTGTAAGCAAAGTCTAAATGAGCTCTCCCTGACAGCTAGTGATGAGCTGGGGGCTGGGGGAAAGGCTTCAGGACCAGAGTGTATTTACATTCATACCTACTCTACCTAGGTATCCAGCAAACAGAGCTGTGTTGCCCAAGTGATAGATTTTGGCTGGGGTTGGGTTACAAATCACTTGAATACGGAAGGGGGTGGTAATGAAATGTTGTTATTCTTACTGTATGAGTAAAGGGCAGTAGAACTGTACTTAGCCTGTGCTGATTGAGGGCATCAAGAGAGAGGATTGAGACAGGTGTTTTGCTTGATGGTCTGCCTGAGTCACAAGTAGTATTTGACCTGCCCCTCTCCACTGTTTAAAGACAGAGCTCATTAGGCTCCATAGATAGTCTTTTGGTTTGTTAAGTGACTGCTACAGCTGAAATCACTGATAATCAGGTCTAAGTGCTTAGACCTGCTGTGGGACAGTGTTTCTGTGGAAGAGACGGCCCAGTCTGCACTAGCAGTGAGGTTCCCCCACTGAGAGCTCAGCTGAAATCACTGAAAGTTGGGTGGAACCTCAAGAGAGCAACTCACAGAGGTCACAGTGGCAGGTGGCAGCAGAAGGTCACAGTGCAGGGCCATTGGCAACAGAGTGATGGAGTGAACGGTGGCACAACGAGCAACAGTGGCCAGAGCGAACAGTGAGCAGCTGGAGGAACGAGCAAGGTGCCTTCTTGCCCCCAACCTGGGAGGTGAACTCATGTGAAAGCACCTCTGAGTCTCCACTGACCAAGGATGAATGTTAATGAGGCTGTTAAGAATGCTGGAGCCACAACACAGTTCATGCGAACAAACATGGCTGCGGCATCATACTTTCTATTTAAGCAAGAGATACCACACACTACAAACTGGAGGCCAATGTTAAGTGCATTGTCACTTGTTCATCCTGAAGTTGAACACTGGTTCTGAACAAGACCAGCAAATGCTCACTATCTTTCTGCAAGAAACTCAACTGACTGACTAGAAGCATGTGGTGCAACAGTGAAAGACTCAACAGTTGAAAAAGTGAAGAACTCCTCTCTCACCACATTCAAAAAAATTGCATACATGGCTGATGAATGCACCGATGCAAATGGGCATCAAGTATTAAGTCATTGTGTACGTTATCTTGATGTCAGTGGTAGGCCAGTAGATGCATTTCTAGATGTTCAAGTTATAGAAGACCCATCGGCTGCATCTGTGACAACCCACATCTTAGAAGAGTTAAATGCTTGTCAATTGGACCCCAAACAGATGGCTGCTTGTGCATTTGATGGAGCTGCAAACTTCTCTGGAAGACATGGTGGAATACAAGCTTTGCTCAGAGAAAAGTGTAACCCTAATCTCTCCTATACACACACTGCAGAGGCCATCTACTCCAACTAGCGCGAGTACGAGCTCCAGACTCTTCATTATATTCTTTTTTCAGCAAGAGTCCAAAAAGACTGAATATCTTGGAAAATATAGAAGATACACTGGGACTGAAGTTCAAATTAGTCCCACCTGGGAAAACCCTCTGGCTTTCTCATGAGTGATCCTTGGCTGTTGTCTTAAAATTACTCCAGCCGTTATTACTGGCTTTGGAAAGTATCTACCAAGATGGGATGGATCTAAGTAGTGAGGCTGGTGGATTACTTTTGCTACTACGTTCAGAGAAGACTATTGCCAGTCTCTCTCTTGTAAGTCTACTGTTGAAACCACTTGGGTCATTAAACAATGCCATCCAGGCATCTGCTACAACGGTAGTAGATCTTTGTCCAGCAATAGAAGCTACATTTGGCTCAGAGAGCTATTGATTGAAAAAGTACTGGTAGAAGCAAAGACTTCAGTCCAGAAGTTGACTAATGAAGACACTTATATTTAATCCTTAAGTGAAGAGGACAAGAAGTGTTTGTTAAGACAACTGAAAAAGTACACAGACTTGATTCTTAAAAATCTACAACAGCGATTTTTAGATTCTACTCAACCTCTACATAGCTTTTACAGATCCCTGTCCTACAAAACACCGACAGTTGAGTGGAGTGAGGCACTACCAGCAATGGGGCTGCCATGTGCTCAGGACAGAATAGAGAATTTGAACACAGAGTGGAATATCATACAATGAATGAATGAAGATTTGACTTCAACTTCTTTTTTATTATCACTAGTGGCTCGACCTGATCTTTATGCTATGTTTCCTGAGATGAAAGAACTAGGAATTCATCTCTTGCTACTACCAGTCACAACAGCTACAGTTGAGCGTTCTGTTTGATCATTGAATAGAATTTTGTGTTCTGAAAGAAGTCGCCTTCTGCCTGTTCATGTGAATGAACTAATGAGCATATCAACTGAAGGAATGGAAGTACCGGACACATGAGAAGCCACCAAAGATGAACGCGTTGCATTCAAGAAGTTCGTTAACAGAGTTGTGCAAAATTATAACAAGAAACCAAGAAGGATGTAGATATTGTGCTTCATAGAAGGCTTGAATAGCCAACTTTAATTTGTGTGATTTTAAAACATGAGTTAAATCTAATAAAATGTCATGAAACATTTTTCAGTTTTTACTATGGAGCCATACAGCCCATCTTCACCCTCATGATCTCACCCTTCATCGGCCCTGAACCCACCTCGTAAATTCGAACACCCCTCCCCCAATTTCAATTCCTGCGGAAAACACTGGGCTCTTCCCAGCCAGGGCAGCTCAGCGCTGCGCTGACAGTGCTTCTCACTCCACTGCCTCAGCCCTGCCCACCCCACGGCCCTGGATGGCACCTGCCACACCCCGCTCCCTGCCCACGTGCCATGCAAGGGGGACAGGCCCCTCCGGCACTCTGCAGAGCAGCCCTGTCGCCCACGGGGGCACCAGCCTGGGCCGTTACCTGCGCCAATGGAGGGAGGAGATTTGACAGAGGAGCCCTGGGGCTTGCTCTTCTGGAGAGACTCAGGAGAAAGAGAGAAATGGGGTGAGATACCCCCCTAGGGATGGGATGCGACCCCCCACTTCCCAGAGACGGGGCAAGAGAGCAAACCCACCTGGGGATGGGGTGAGAGAGAGAGAGAGATCCCTGGGATGGGGGAGGGGGAAGGACCCACTGCATGGGTAGGGGGAAAGGATGGGACAGAAAGGCAGGGCCCCTGCACCCCCCTCAGGCTCCACCCCTTCGGTGTACACCCCCCCCACTCTCCATCCCCACCAGAGACCGAGCTCTCATTCCCCCCCATTGGCTCTGCTCCCTTCTCCCCCTCAGCCTGAGCTCAGCCCTATTGCCCTCCCCAGAGTCAGCTCAGACTCTTCCCCCCACAGTCAGGCACCCCCCTGCCAACCTCAGCCCCCCTCTGCCTTGCCTTGGTGTTGCTCCTCCCTTGAGGAGTGGGGGGGCTCCCTGCCAAGCCCTGGTCCTAACTCACCTCCAGGTTTGTCCTTGCTTTCCTCAGCACGGCATGTGTTTGGGTCACTGCAACAGAGAGGGGGGGGATCAGAGCGGGCACCGCTCCCTCCTGACCCCAGGGAGAGGGTGTCAGGATTGGTGTCGCTTCCCACGAACCAAACTGCAGGGGGCGGGGGCAGGGTCATTGTAGGATCCCCCAGAGCAGCAAACCCCAGCTGGCTCCAGCTACGTGAGCAGAGAGCAGCGTAGCCAGGCCTGGCCCATGCTGGGCCTGTCTGCTTACTGTGCCCCCCTACTCCAGCCCTATGGCCGGGGGCTCCAGCGCAGACAGGACCCCAGCAATGCCAGGCCATGTCCCGCTCAGAGCAGGCCAGTGGGCACAGCCCCCCAAGCTGGCTATGCCTGATGATGATAACAGCAGGCGGGGGGGGAGAGAGAGGGAGGATGGGGCCAGCTGGCTACCAGGCACTGGTGGGGCCACTCTGCAGGGCCTGTTCATTATATTTGGATGGCATTGGAGCCATGGCCCCTGCCACAGGATGGGGATGCCAGCCTGGTATGACTGACCTATGCCAGACAGCTTGGTGAAGGCAGGATGCTCCAAGCCCCCCAGTCGCAGACTCCATGGGGAGCCAAGTTCTGAGCACCATCGGTGGCAGGTGCTGTTTAACGACGGATGCCGAGGGAAGTGGGGACACACTCTGTGCCCACCATTGCCATGGCTATGCCCACCTCCCACCACACTGGGGCACCTACAGTGGCTGACGATGAAGTGCTCCATGTTGTCCTTCAGGCGGCAGGTGTCCTGAAGGCGCTCAGCTGCACTTTGGAGCAGATTCTCCTGCTCAGCTAACCTGGCCCTGAGCGCCAGGAGCTCGTCCTTCATTGCCTGCTCCTGGGCAGAGATGGGGGCACAGTCAGCAGGGGCCATGTGCCTCTGCAAACCACAGCCTGGCTCCCAGGCACCCCGGGGCAGGCACTCGCCCCCTCCCATGCTGTCCAGAGCTGTGGCTCAGCATCCCGAACCAGGTGGGTTAGTGTGAACTACCGCAGCCTCTGCTGGAGGCTCTAGGGGCCACAAGCAGGGAGCTGGGGCTAGCCCCTTGCTCCCGCACCCCACAATGCGCAAGCCTCCCGTACTGCGCAGATGGAGCAGTCCCCTAGCTGCTGGCAGCAGCAGGCCCTATGCCCTGTCTGGTGCACCAGGCTGAGCAGAGTGATTGGGATGGTACCGCCTGGGCGAGGAGCAACACCGTCCAGCCTTCCCACAGGAGCACCCAGCGGAGGGCTCCCTGCACCCAGGAGTGCCCAGTCACCCAGACAGGCTCTTAATCCCCATCGGCTCACAAGTTGCCTGGATGAGCCCTGCCCTCCCATCCGTTGGAGCCCCGGACTCTTGGGGGCTGCCTGGGTGACCATGGGGGCAACATTGCAGGGCCAGCTCTAGGTTTTTTGCTGCCCAAAGCAAAACAATTTTTGGCTGCCCTCCCCGCCAGCCCTGGGCTCTCTCCCCCCCCCACAACTGCACCCTCCTGCCGCCCCAGCCCTGGGTCACTGGTAACTCGCTCCCAGGGCGGATCATTCAGCAGGAATTTTGGATGTGCACAGAACACAGACAGGATTGGTTCCCATATGGTTACAGAACTGCAGTAAAGTGGAACAATTTTCAGCTTGTGTGATTGAAGGATATCTGGATGCATATTATAAGACTGTCCTACATAAATGAGGAAAAGTTGAGGTGCCTTTATTATTCTTTTGTTCCATTCTTTGTTTCTATGGGGAATTTGCCAATGCAATATTACTGTCTTCCTTTTAAACAACTAAAACTAAAAAAAAAAAAAAAAATGGCTGTTGAAAATAGCAATTCCAGTCCTAATAACCACTGGGAAGCATTTCTTGCTCAATTTATTCTACTTTTTCTACAGCAAGTTACAGTGGATCAGTATATTTGATTTGGGGGAAATGAAGTAACAGCTGCCCAAATTGAGCTTGAGCACTCCTGAATTTTGAGGGTGTTCAAATCTGGAAGGCAGGTGCTAGATTCCCTTTCTGAATATTAGCTAAATCTGGAAAAGAAAAGTCAATTTCTGCTTCCATGGCTCAGAAGTGTAAATCCTCCTATGTGCCTGGTACTGTATCTAAAGCTGCCCAGGTCCTAGTAGAGCCTCCCCTCCCTTACTTTTCATTTTAAATTCTAGTGGGATCTCCCTTGCTAGGCTTCAGATAGAGAGGTGCACTGTCCATTTAGTCCACCCAATTCTTTCTTTGGGGGAGAGCCCAGGGCTGGGGTGGCAGGAGGTGCAGGTGGGGGCCAGAGCTGGGGCAGCAGGGGGTGCGGGTGTGGGGGGGGAAGAGCCCAGGGCTGGGGCAGCAGGAGATGCGGGTAGGGGGAGAGCCCAGGGCTGGGGCAGCAGGAGATGCGGGTAGGGGGAGAGCCCAGGGCTGGGGCAACACGGGGGTGTGGGCGGGGGAGAGTCCAGGGCTGGGGTGGGGGGGCGGCAAAAAACCTAGAGCTGGCTCTGTCCCTACCATTCACAGGAAACTGCAGCATGAGGTTTCAGTTCCACTCCTTCCCCCTCCCTTTCCTGTTAATTGCGGCCAAGGGAATGCTGGGAAATGTAGTTCTTTCCCTGCTCCAGGGCTGGCTCTATAGGCAGGGAGCTAAACAAGGAACTACAGCTCCCAGGGCCCCCTGTTGGTTCTCAGCTCCCATGCTGGATTCTTGCGCCCCTGCAAATTTGCCGCCCCAAGCAACTGCTTGCTTTGCTGGTGCCTAGAGCCGGCCCTGAACATTGGCATGATCTGCGAGGGGTGCCGGGAGGGTGCCACTCACCGCAGTCTGGGGCTGGGCTGGGCTGGGGGCCGCTGGCAGGGCTCCTCTCCAGAAGGTGGCGAGCAGGGAGGCGCACTGCTCCAGGAGCTGATGCAGGGCACTTGTGGCGCTCAGGAGCTGCCGGACACTGCCCCGCTCCAGGGCCTGGCGGAGGAGAGAAGACTTGTTGCAGACGCTGCCCTGCGGCTCAGTGGTCACAGCAAACTCGGAGCCCCGACACGCCTGGCTTTCATGGGAGGGCACTGCCCAGCACAATGGCCCAGGTTCCCGATAGCCCGTTGCCAGGCTGGCCCCCTCTGCAGCCAAAATAGCTCTGGAATCAGTCCCAGAAGTGATGGAGACAGGTCCCATCTGGCCCCCTTCCCTGAGGCCAGCACCTCCACTGCCCTCGCGCTCTGGCCAGCCTAGCAGTAAACGCCCCATCTCAGGGCACTCAGCTGAGTCCATCGGGCAGGTGATGGTCTCCCATGCACCCAGGTAGGGACAGACCCCCATGATCCTTTCCAGGCCCCCCAGAGCCAGCGTTCCCCAGGAAAGCTGGAGGGGCCAGCCTGAAATGCTAGCTCCCTGGATGGGACCATGAGAGCGGTGTTATGCAGGGCTCTGCCCGCTTCTCCCCTGATCCTTCCTTTCTCGACAGAGGGCTCAGAGCAGCCTGGCCCTTCCCGATATCCAGGGAGAATTACCTCAGTGCCATGGGGCTCCAGGCTGGGCATGGCTAGAGCTGGCCGCAGGTGAGAGGCCATCTGGTGGACCAGCGTTTTGCCCTCCAGGATCTGCTGCTTCAGGGTATAATAGTCATCCACGTGGCCAATGACCTGGCACCCGCCTTTGCTGGCAGACGAACTGCTTGGGGCATCTCCCGCTGGCGCAGGGGCACTCCTCCTCACCAGGGGGTTGTCCACGGGTGGCTCTGGAGCAAAGAGGGGTCAGCACTGCTGGTGTCCCTGAGAGCCCATCAGGGCTGCATTAGCCCAGTGCCAGGCCCAACGCCAAGGGGGGGTTAGTGCCAGCGTTTACATGCCCTGAGCTGGCACTTCCCTAACCCCTCACTCCCCATGTGCCCCCAAGCAGCTTGTTCTGTTTGTCCAGACTGTCTTAGGAGCAGCAGGCCGCGATTTCCAGACATCACGAGGGAGGCTGGGCACCCCCAGTTTTGGAAGCCCAACCTCAGCCACCTTAGGTGGGCTGATTTCAGGTAATGCTGGGCCCCTGCCCTGCCAAACCCAGGCCCCTCAACGTGGCTCAGGCTGGACTCCTGCAGTCACTAGCCATCTCTGAAGCTCTCGACTATGACCTTTCCCTAACATGCAACCTGCAGCTCTACATCACCCCAGCCCTCACATCGCTACTTCTCCAGGCGGCACAGGGCCAGCTCTCCTAGCCTCCACGCTTCGCATTGTCCTCCTCCGAGCTCAGCCCCCCACTCGGATCCCGCCACACGCCCGGCTCCGACGGGCCACCAGAATGCCATGCTGTATGGCTCCCACCGAGAACCTGCCACCTGCAGTCCCAGCCTCTCTGGGGGGCGGGCGGGGTGCCCGCTGTGGCTCTGCACTCCCCTGGTTCCCTGCTTGCATCCCAGCAGGAGGGCACAGCTTGAGATGCCCCACGAGACATGGACAAAATGCAGCATTCACTCAGGGGAAGAGACGAAGGGAAACGCTCTCATGCCTTGGCCTCCTGACAAGGGGAGTGTGAAACCCAGACCCAGGGAATGGGGGGGCTGGGATGCCCCACGCAAAATGGGACCCACGTGCTCTTCAAATCCAAGGCTCCCAGAACCATCTCCCCAGAAGGTGCTGGCCTCTCTCTGCTCCCTCAGGAGTCTCTGCCTCAGGCCTGGAGGGTCTCTCTAGCTCAGTGGGTTTCAACCTGTGGCCCGCAGACCCCTGGGGGCTGCAGACTATGGCTAAGATTTCCAAAGAGGTCCGTATCGCCATTCAAAACATTTTAGGAGTCCACAAAGGGTGAAAACCACTGGGCTAGCTCAAGCAGGAATTCCTGGGGAAGGGTCTCCGGCCCATGCTATGCAGGAGGTGGGACGAGATGGTCCCTCCCGGCCTTAACACCTGGAGTGTGACCAACTGACTCCCTCCTTTGGGCTCCCAGCCCCGGAGCATTCCGAGCGTCCCACCCTCGCTGCCCATGGAGCCTGGCTTGAGCCGCCCGTGCTCCAGGACCCTCTGCAGCAGTGGCCCCGCTCTTCCCTGGGGGACGGGGCACATCCATTACCTTTCATTCGGTGGGCGAGCGGGACCGGAACGCTGAGCAGGGCGGGCGGGGAGAGGGGAGCTGGGGAGCTCATGCCAACATCCCGAACTGGAGGAGATGGGCTGGAGTCTGCAAAGGTGAGACGACAAAGGGTCCATTTACCAGGTTAATGGCACTTCTGCCAGGCATCAGGGTGCCCGAGGGGCCAGCGGAGTCCACACAGTGCCCTGGGGCTGGCGCAGCCTCTCTTACCTTGGAAGGGCTGCCAGTCGGGCGTAGCCTGGTGTGCGGCGAGGAGGGGGGCAGCGCTTCGCTCCGGCTGCTGCCGTGCCAGCTGCTGCCTCAGGGCGCTGTTCACTTGGATGCCACGCAGCAGCTGCCTGCGCAGAGTTCGCACCTCTGCCAGGAGGGCGTCCAGCTCACTGCTGGAAGGTGGTCTGCGATGTGCATCTCCGCTGCAGGCTGCCAACACACACAGCTGCTCAGTCACCAGCTGTGCCTTCCACCCCCTGCACGCTGGTGTGTTGCCCCCCTGCACCTGCAGCCCCATGGATCCTCCCATCCCCAGCCACCATGGGCAGTGAAGGGCAGCCCTCAACCAGCCCCAGCTTAGCATGGCGACACACTGGGGCACGAAAAGGCTGCTCAGTGTGCTTGGTGCCCGACCACGTCAGTGTGGGGTTGAGGAGCAGGGTGCGGAGCGCCAGGGCGATGAGAAACATGCAGGGATGGGGTCACTAGCCCAACCCAGCCCAGTCACTGGCGGGGTCACAGGGACAGAAATCCCAATACGCTGCGGTCTGGAGATGCACAGCCAGGCCCCCAAAGGGCCCGAGCTCTACCCAGCAGCTCCCCAGCCAGCAAGCTCCAATGGGACCCAGCTTGCATCTCAAGGGTTCAAGGTGTTAATGACCATCCCCCCCCAACCACAAAGTTCCCAGCAGAATCCTCAGCTCTGTCCTGTAGTGACACCACACAGGGGCGGGGCACAAAACCCCACGGGTCTGGAAATCAGCTGTGGGTCCATGAGCCTGGCCCTGGCAGGGTCCCCAGTGTAGGGCCTGTGCTGGGACCCCTCATGGGCTTGGGGACACCGACACCAGCCAGCAGGTGAGTGACGTCAGCTATCGGGACACTCAACCTCGGCTCCATTGTAGCTATCTGGGCATCAACCCACAGGCCAGCAGCTGCTGTAACATCTTGTAGGTGCAGAGGCTGTTTGCCGGGACAGCTTCTGGTCTGGACAGCGTGGAGTGGGGAGGGCGGGGCAGATCCTGGACAGTGTGGGGGTGGGAAGGGGAGGGGAGGGCAGGGCAGATCTTGGACTAGGTAGGGTGGGGAGTCCCTGGCTCACAGGTGATCTGGGTGGGAGGCGTGGGGTGGGGGGAAACCCCAGGGGAGGCTGAGCTCAATGCAGGAAGCAGCTTCCCTCCCTACACCTTCTGCACCTGGTACGGGGCTGTCATAAACATACAGCTACGGGGAGCATAAAATCCCTCCTTTACCTGTAAAGGGTTAAGAAGCTCAAATAACCTGGTTGGCACCTGACCAAAAGGACCAATAAGGGGAGAAGATACTTTCAGATCTGTGGGGGAAGGTTTTTTTGTTTTGTTCTCTTTGTTGTTCTCTCCAGGTCAGCGAGGAACCAGGGCAGGGAAAATACATCTCCCAAAGCCATATCTGAACTAAGCATCTAAGATTACAAATTGTAAGTAAAGGCAAAGAAATGCATTAGATTATCTTTTGTTTTAGCTTGTGAATTTTCCCTAGGTTAAGAGGAAGGTTTATTCCTGGTTTGTTTGTTTTTTGTAACTTTAAAGTTTTGCCTAGAGGGGAATCCTCTGTGTTTTGAATCTGATTACCCTGTAAAATTACCTTCCATCCTGATTTTACAGAGGTGCTTCTTTTACTTTTGCTTTATAATAAAGTTCTGCTTTTAAGAACCTGATGGGTTTTTATTGTCCTAAAAACCCAAGGGCTGGTCTGTGCCCATCTTGTTAATCTATTTGGTTGGTATATTATTCTCAAGCCTCCCCAGGAAAGGGGGTGAAGGGGCTTGGGGGGATATTTTGGGGAAACAGGAACTCCAAGTGGTTCTTTTCCTAAATCTTTGTTTAACTCACTTGGTGGTGGAAGCAATACCGTTCCAAGAACAAGAAAGAATTTGTGCCTTGGGGAAGTTTTTAACCTAAGCTGGTAGAGATAAGCTTAGGGGGTCTTTCATGCGGATCCCCACATCTGTACCTTAGAGTTCAGAGTGGGGAGGGAACACTGACAGAGGCATTTTGCACCCCACCTGGGGGACCATCTCTGGGGGGCTCCCCACTGCAGGCAGGTGGGACCTCACCACGGCAGGGGACACAGCATGGGGCTCTAGGGAGCTCGGGGGATAGGGCTGGAGCTGGCTACACCCACCATGGCCTCACCCCATCCCAGGTCTCTGTCCCTGCCCAGAGCCCGGCAGCTGGCTGTCACGGGGGGTGGTGCCCCCGCCCGGAGCCCGGCACCTGAGGAGGGCAGCTGGGACACCCACCCCAGCACCAAACACCTCCCACAAGGGGACAGCGGGCAGGACAGACAGACCCATGGACAGAGCTGGTTATAAATCCATGGGGTTGCTATGATGGCCAGACACAGCGGAGGCCTGGGTGGATTCCCAAGACAGGCCGGCCCTGCAGCGCCACCAGGTGTGCCACCCTGCTGCTGAGGCAAGGCTGGTTGTGTGCCCCTGCCGCCAGCGCCACGGGTCTGAGATGGCACTGTTGGGCTTGTTTGGGAGTAGGACAGTTGGTCAATTCGAGCACATTGAGACATGGGGCCACGCTCTAACCAGTTGGAGGTGCTGCCCCTGCTCCGGAGTCAAGGGCTGCACTGAGCTGCTCCAGATGGGCTTCCCAGTGCAGAGGGGGGTGCTGGGGCACTTAAGAGGGCAGAGCTGGCCCCAATGCAGCAGACCGGGCAGGACAGGCTGGCACATACCCGAGGGAGCCACCTGGGAGGAACCGGAAAGGGTCTCGTGGACGCGCAGCTCGGTGCAGAGGGCTTGGCAGAGCCGCTGGTTCTCCTCGCACTGCTGCTGAAGGAGCGGCACCGTGCGCTCCAGCCTGCAGAGACAGAACAGCCGGGATCAGAGGGGCACGGCCGCACACTGGCTGCCCCCCCCATGCCCTTCTCCTGCTGGACCCCCCCCCCCCCCCATGATGTTACAGAGCAGGGCAGTGACGTCAGAGCCCGTCAGCAGCGGTGCCATGACACACCCGAGTGGGCCGGGACCCAGTGCCCCTGGGACGCTGCTCGGCCACCCAGTGCCACGCCTCAGGGCTCTGAGACACACACCCGTCTCCCCTGCCTGGCATCCCAACCCCCACCTGTGGTTGTTCTCCTGGAGAGCCAGCCGCTCCTCCCGCAGCTGACGGCTGCTCTGCCGCTGCTCTGCCAGCTCCTGTGTGAGTGTCCGGTTCTCCGCCTCGGCCTCCTTCAGCCTACAGCGCGTGGCCTCACGCAGCCGCTCCAGCTCTGGGGGGAGAGCCCCGTTACCCGGCGCCTCAGAGGGGGAGGGGAGAGCCCCGTTACCTGCCGCACCGGGTGGGGAGGGGAGAGCCCCGTTACCCAGGGAAGGGGGAGGAGGGGAGAGCCCCGTTACCTGGCAGCGGGGGAGGGGGGGCGGGGGCAAAGCCCAACAGTAATGGCCAAGGTGGTGAATGGGGCTAGGGCGGGGAGGGGCCACGTGCCTGGGATAGGTAGGGCCCAGTGCCACATGGCAGCGCCTGTAGGATGCTTGATGCCCACAGAGGTAGGACTGTGCCCAAGGGGATAGCACCTTCCCATGCACCAGCCCTGCTCTCCAATCCGCATCCACAGAGTGGGGAGCTGTAGGAGCCGCAGCCGCCAACACATGGGGGGTGGATCGGTGTGGCCCCTACCAAAGGAGCAAGGCCCAGCTGTGTCTGGGGGTCTCCTGTGATTAGGGTGACCAGATGTCCCAATTTTATAGGGACAGTCCCGATTTTTGGGTCTTTTTCTTATATAGGCTCCTATTACCCCCCCACTCCCGTCCCGATTTTTCACACTTGCTGTCTGGTCACCCTACCTGCGATTCTGGGTCCCCAGGAGCGGGGTCTGCCCCACACATACAGAGAGCCCAGATCTAGAGCCGGGGCTGGCACTGAGCGCGCTGCCCTTGGGCTGCACCCCCTGCACAGGGGCTCGTGCCGGGCAGTGAGTGGCTCGCTGCCCCCTGCCCCCTACCTCTGGAGAGGTGAGCGAACTGGAGCTGCAGGCTCTGGTTCTCCTCCCGCAGGGCTCGGGTCTCGCTGCTCAGTGAGGATGCGGACTCCAGCCCCTGGATGTAGATGTTGGTGGGATACCCTGCAACAGGAGCAGCCGTGATGTTGGGGGCAAAGCTGCCAACGCTCCCTGCAGGAGCCCCTGGGCCTCTCCCAGAGTCTGTGCCAACTGCCCACTGCTGTGCCCGAAGGAAGCCCTGGGCACTCCACCCCCAGGCTGGCCATCCACTTGCCCGCGCTGAGCCCACACTGATAGGAGGAGAGAGGACGGAACGGCTGTGGAGAAGGAACGGCTCGGCGCCATGAGGGGGTCCCCCGCCAGGATTGGGCCCTGGGAAATGGGGGCAGGGAGTGGGGTGCAGAGAGCTGAGCCCCAGCCAGACTCCTCCCTCCCAGGGAAGGAGATGTACCCACCCACCCCGGGAGCTGGGCTCTAGGGACTTGAGCAGACAACAGCGACCCCTCTCTGAGCCCCCCGAGCACCTCCCTGCCCCACACCCTTTGGGTACTGAGGTTGCCGGGTACCCTGCCCAGATCCGCACCCTGTGAATTTGGGTACAGGGCTTCTTGGGTACACCCCCCCGGATCCCCGCCCCGAACTCTCTGGGCCCAGGGGGTGCTGGGTTTCCCCCACTCTGCCCCACACCCTCTGGGCACAGGGAGTGCTGGGTTCCACCCCCGTGCTCACTACCCCACACCCTCTGGGCACAGGGGGTGCTGGGCTCCCCCGGTCACTCCCCCACACACTCTGGGCACAGGGAGTGCTGGATTCCCCCGCCCCATCACTCCGCCACACCCTCTGGGCACAGAGTGTGCTGTGCCCTGTGTGCTGCCCACCCTGGTGGCATGGAGCACTCTGAAGTCCCGTCCCGTACCATTGCCCTTGGCGGTGGTGGCGAGGCGTTTCTCCAGCTGCTCCCGCAGCCGGTCGTTGATGCAGATGGACTCCTCCAGGCGCTGGCGCAGGCTGCGGATCTCCACCAGGTGTCCTTCCAGCAAGTCAGCACCTGCACCGGCCGGGGGAACAGAGAGCTGGGTGGGACACCAGGGCTCAGCCGGGAGCAGGTCAGGAGGGCACGATGCTTCCTGAGCACCACAGCCACCTCCCTGCGTGGGCTGGCCCCTGTCCCCCGCAGCCTGAGGAGCAGGACGAGAGCAAAGGGAGCTGACAGGCTGGGGCTGCTACAGTACAGAGGGCACACGGCCCCTTTCACACCTACCCCGGGACACCCACCAGACCACGCTCCCTACAACGGCACAGTTCTGCCCTCCCCGCGGCACGGCTCTTACCCGTCAGCTTGTGGCTGTCTGGATACCCAGAGGGTAAGTGCCCATAGAGGGCCCCCATGTGAGGCTGGGCCCAGAGGGAGTTGCTCTCCAGGAAGGCAGCCCCTGCTTTCCTGTCCAGCCGGGTGGAGCTCTGCAGCGGGCAAGACTGTGGGGTGAGATGGGGAACGTGGAGACAGCGGGAGGTGCTGGCTTCCCTGAAGTTGCTGGCCAGTGGCATTGGTTTGACTGGTGGTGCGGCAAGAGGTCCCCCTAGATAGACATGGACAGAAGTGGGTCCGGGGCCCATAGGAGGGCAAGGCTGGGTGCCACCCTGGGGATGAAGGCAGGACCTGTCCCAGAGAGACTGCCCAGAGGAGGTGCCCGGACAGGAAGGCCCCGAGTGCACGTGTCCAGCTCAGAGCCACTCGTGGCTCTGCTGAGCGCCACCCAGGGACACCTTCCCCACTTGCCCCAGGGCCCTGGCTCGCCCTGGCAGCCCAAAACTCTCCCAACGAGACACCCCAGGGAGTCCCCCAGTGCTCACAGCCTCCCCACTGATGCAGGGCCCCAGGCAGAAAAGTGTGGGTCAGAGCAGTGTATCCATTGCCCCTGTGCTGCCAGCCAGGGCCTGGACTCCCAGGTTGGGGGGAGGGGTCTTGCTCTTCTTGCAGGCTCTTTATTGGCCCACTGGCCATAATCCCAAAGGCAACCTCAGCAGCCCAGATAGGCCTCAGGGCAGAGGCACTGACCATCTGCAGACCAGGGCACACTCACAGATACGATTGCGACTGTTCATTCTGCCCTGCTCCGTAGCCAGGCCAGAGAGCCCCCGCACCGCTCCTGCATCTAGCCCAAAACCCGTAGGAGTGCTGTGCCCGCTAGGCCCAATTACCAGTACAGCCCACTGGCATCCGAGGGCAGCTCCCATGTCACACCAGGCGGGGCAGCCGATGTCCCCGCTGTGAAGCACAATGCCCCGTGACACACATGCCGGAAAGCACTGCAAGCTGGACCATGCCGTGGCACCGACCCACTGGCAGGCACCAAGCTGAGCCAACACGCTGCCATGCATCGGCAAGGGCTGGGGACAAGCAGCAAGAGACAGAGGCCGAGGTATCGGGCCAACAAGCCAAGAGCACACAGGGAGCCCCACGCCTTCCCAGCCAGCCAGCCCAGCGCCAGCCTGCGTTGGGGCGGCACCAAACGCATCAGCAATGGGGCTGGGCAGCTCAGAGGAATTGGGGAAAGGAAGACACCCAGGGTCAGTCCAATCCAGCCCAGCTCAGCTGGGATATGCCCCTCCGGTGCCTGTTAGGTGAAATGAATCAGAGGGTCTCAGCACAGATCCTAGTGACCCCAGCCAGCCGCCCCACCTCAGCCTGCACCACCTGGCCCCACCACTGGCCATCTCGGCAGAGGAGCCAGACGCTGAGCTGAGCCCTGCCAGAGCCAGGCTGGGCACATGGGCTGGGGCTCCTTGGCAGATGCCAGGCATCCCTGGGTTCTAGCATCTCCAAGAGGGTTTCTCACGCCTTGCTGCTCTGAAGCCTGAAACCCACTCTGCCCAGCCACGTTGGGGCCTGGCATGATCCCTCCATGCACTATGGGGCTGGAGGATCCCCCTCTCAGCTCCTACCCTGCCCCAGTCTCTGCACTATGGATCTGTAAGGGGGGGGAGGTCCCTCTCTCAGCTCCTATCCCGCCCCCCCCCAATCTCCACAGTACACAGGAGGGATCCCCCCCTCCAAGTTCCCAGCCCTGCCCCCCAGTCCCTCTGCATAAGCAGCTTCTCCCCACCTGTCCTGGAGCTGGGAATGACCATTTCTCCAGTCTCCTCCCCTCTGCCGTGCCCACCCCCCAGCTACCTGCCCCCTCCCACCTCAGCCTTGCTGGTGCTAGTGGGCCCAGGCCAGCTGATGCCTCTCTCCTGCCTCCCCGCTTGGGAATGGGGCTGCAGCAGGAGCAGCTGGTTGGGTGAGGACAGCGTGTGCCCAGGACAGACAGACAGTGCAGGCATGGGGGGCTGCGAAAGCCATGCAGAGCCACATGCCAGGGGAAGGCAGAAGAATCAAGCCAGAGGCGCTCACTTTCTCCCAGCTGCTTCTGCAGCATGTGCAGTTCCTGCTGCACCTCGGCCAAGGAGAAGACAGGCGTCCCACAGCAGCCCAGGAGAGCAGGGGGGGCGGGAGGAGGAGGGCCGAAGGGCAGGAAGGCGGATGGCCCAGGGGCAGGCGTCAGAGGGACGCTCAGTGGCTTGGACAAGGAGTCAAAATGCAACCCTGGAGATAGGAGAGAGAGCAGAGATGGGGAGAGAGATTAGCCAGGCCCAGGCTTGGGGTGCAGCTGGCACTGGGGCTGCCCGGAAAATCCAGTCACTTGGGTGAGGCAGCACTGCATCCCCCACGGCCATACCAGCCCCCTGACAACGGGGGCCAGGCTGCACTGCGCCCCCCAGGACC